AGCAAGAGAGCCTTTGCAGAACTTCAGGAGGTATGCCAATTGTGGCCTTTCTGGATCAGGAGTCCTTGTGCTCAGTCATTCAAGTCCTGGTCATCTCACACTTGGATTACTGCAAAGTGCTCTACATGGGGCTAACCTTGAAAAGCATTCGGAAGCTTCAACTTGTGCATAGTACAGCAGTGCAGGGAATTTTTGGGGCCCCTAGAGTGGCCAATGTTACACTGCTGTTCCATGAGCTGCATTGGCAGCTGCTTTTTCTGGGTGCAATTCAAGATATTGGTTATTATCTATAAAGCCATTTATTTATTTATTTATTTATTTTCACTGATTTCTATGCCGCCCTTCTCCCCACGGGACTCAGGGCGGCTCACAGCATATTAAAAAACAACACAAAAAACATTTCCCCTATAAAACCAATTAAAAACCAAATATATTTATGGCTGTGTCATTATTAAAATCTTTAAAAAATTATTCCCTATTTTATCTATAAAGCCATGCATAGCATGAGTCCTGGTTACTTAAAGAACACCGTGTCAGAGAAGGCATGCTGCAGATCCCTGTCAGTCAAGGAATCCCAGCTAGCAGGGTCCAGGAGAAGAGCCTCTCTTCCATGATCCCAGTCCTTTGGAACATCATGTGCCCTAAATATAAATAACCTTGGGTTTTTAGCGAGGTTATGAATAAAATGTAACAACAAATAATTCCTATATATAAATTTAATTCCTATATATAAATTTATCCAGGGGTAATTACCATGGGATAATTCTGAAATACTTCAGCAAGCTGAACTTCAAAATGGATTCTCTGTGAGTTGACCTTCTACCTCTACATCCTATAGCAACAAAGTGGATTGCTTCATCAAAAGCTTCAGATTAGATCAACTGAGTTTCATATTATTCAATCCAGTGCCTTCACACTTAAAAGGCCTTGCACTATAAAATTGTAATTAAAAAGCAGGTTTTTAAAATATCTAAACGCTATAGATAATATTAAAGTAGGGGAGTTACATTTTGTGACTTATCTGCTATCATGGCTGAATTTATTTGAATATTAAAAATAACAAGAAGCCTTTTTAAGTACAAAAAAAGCACCCCACTGTGCAAAATGGTCAGATCCTAACTGTATAGATACGTAACGTTTTGCCCAGAATCTTAAGAGTACTTTGTACTTTAAATCTGAACATATTACTAAGCTGAATCTGCTCTAGTCTTTATGTTAATAAACTTATTAATAAAAATGAGATGTGAAATTGGTATTATCAGTTAAGTTCTATTTATATCTAATCAATTTTTTCTGCCATGTGCTTTCCTTAACTGGACAAGAATTCTTCTTTGAAGAATTCCAAAACAAAGTCTGCAGCAATAGTATTTTCTCAATGTTGTCCAGTAATCCTGGTATTTGACCAGAAATATATCCATCTCTTATTAAAAAAAATAAGTACACAGACCTTTGTTGTTGTTGTTAATTGCGAAGTCATGTCCGACCCATTGCGACCCCATGGACAACATTCCTCCAGGTCTTCCTGTCCTCTACCATCTTCTGGAGTCCATTTAAGCTCACACCTACTGCTTCAGTGACTCCATCCAGCCACCTCATTCTCGGTCATCCCCTTCTTCTATTGCCCTCAATCTTTCCCAGCATTAGGCCTTTCTCCAGTGAGTCCTTCCTTCTCATTAAGTAGCCAAAGTATTTGAGTTTCAACTTCAGGATCTGGCCTTCTAAGGAGCAGTCGGGGTTGATCTCCTCTAGGACTGACAGGTTTGAATGCCTTGCAGTCCAAGGGACTCGCAGGAATCTTCTCCCGCACCATAGTTCAAAGGCCTCAATTCTTTGTCGCTCAGCCTTTCTTATGGTCCAACTTTCACATCCATACATTGCAACTGGAAAAACCAGGGCCTTGACTATATGTACTTTTGTTGGCAGGGTGATGTCTCTGCTTTTTAGTATGCTGTCTAGATTTGCCATAGTTTTCCTCCCCAGGAGCAAGCGTCTTTTAATTTCTTGGCTGTAGTCCCCATCTGAGGTGATCTTGGAGCCCAGGAAAATAAAATCTGTCACTACCTCCATTTCTTCTCCATCTATTTGCCAGGAATTGAGAGGGCCAGATGCCATGATTTTGGTTTTCTTAATGTTGAGTTTCAAGCCAACTTTTGCACTCTCCTTCTTCACCCACATCAAGAGGCTCTTTAGTTCCTCTTCACTTTCTGCCATTAGAGTGGTATCATCTGCATATCTTAGGTTGTTGATATTTCTCCCGGCAATCTTAATTCCAACTTTTGATTCATCTAGCCCTGCGTTTCTCATGATATGCTCTGCATATAAGTTAAATAGGCAGGGCAACAGAATACAGCCTTGCCGGACTCCTTTCCCAATTTTGAACCAATCAGTGGTTCCGTGTCCAGTTCTCACTGTTGCTTCTTGACCCACATATAGGTTTCTCAAGAGACAAATAAGATGGTCTGGTACTCCCATCTCTTTAAGAACTTGCCACAATTTGTTGTGATCCACACAATCAAAGACTTTAGCATAGTCAATGAAGCAGAAGTAGATGTTTTTCTGGAACTCCCTAGCTTTTTCCATGATCCAGCGTATGTTGGCAATTTGATCTCTAGTTCCTCTGCCTCTTCAAAATCCTGCCTGTACTTCTGGTAGTTCTCGACCCACATACTGCTGAAGTCTAGCTTGTAGGATTTTAAGCATAACTTTACTAGCATGTGAAATGAGTGCAATGGTGTGATAGTTTGAACATTCTTTGGCATTGCCTTTCTTTAGAACTGGAATGTAAACTGACCTTTTCCAATCCTGTGGCCACTGTTGATTTTCCAAATTTTCCAAATTTGTTGGCAAATTGAGTGTAGTACTTTTACTGCATCATCTTTTAAGATTTTGAATAGCTCAGCTGGAATACTGTCACCTCCACTAGCTTTGTTGTTGCTCAGATTTCCTAAGGCCCATTTCACTTCACATTCTAGGATGTCTGGTTCAAGGTCAGTGACCACCCCATCGTGGTTATCTGGGACGTTATGCTCGTTCTTGTATAGTTCTTCTGTGTAGTTTTGCCACCTCTTCTTAATCTCTTCTGCCTCTGTTAGGTCCATGCCATTATGGTCCTTTATCATGGCCATCTTTGCACGAAATGTTCCCTTCATATCTCTAATTTTTTTGAAGAGATCACTGGTCCTTCCTATTCTGTTGTTTTCTTCTATTTCTTTGCACTGTTCATTTAAGAAGGTATTCTTATCTCTTCTAGCTATTCTCTGGAATTCTGCATTCAATTGGGTGTATCTTTCTCTTTCTCCTTTGCCTTTAGCTTCCCTTCTTTCCTCAGCTATTTGCAAAGCTTCCTCAGACAGCCATTTTGCTTTCTTGCATTTCTTTTTTTGGGGGGATGGTTTTAGTTGCTACCTCTTGTACAATGTTGCAAACCTCCGTCCATAGTTCTTCAGGCACTCTGTCTATCAGATCTAATTCCTTAAATCTATTTGTCACCTCTACTGTATATTCATCAGGAATACGATTTAGTTCATACCTGTGGCCTAGTGTTTTTCCCTACTTTCTTCAATTTAAGCCTAAATTTTGCAACAAGAAGCTCATGATCTGAGCCATAGTCAGTTCCTGGTCTTGTTTTTACTGACTGTATAGAGCTTCTCCATCTTTGGCTGCAGAGCACATAGTCAATCTGATTTCTGTGTTGACCATCTGGTGATATCCATGTGTAGAGCCGTCTCTTGGGATTGTTGGAAAAGAGTGTTTGTTATGACCATCGTATTCTCTTGACAAAATTCTATCAGCCTATGCCCTGCTTCATTTTGTACTCCAAGGCCAAACTTGCCTGTTATTCCAGTTATCTTTTGGCTTCCTACTTTAGCATTCCAATCCCCCATGATGATAAGGACATCATTTTTGGTGTTAATTCTATAAGGTGCTGTAGGGCTTCATAGAACCGGTCAATTTCATCCTTTTCAGCACCAGTGGTTGGGTCATAGATTTGGACTACTGTGATATTGAATGGTTTGCCTTGGATTCAAACTGAGATCATTCTGTCATTTTGGGGATTGTATCCCAGTATTGCTTTTCCTATTCTTTTATTGACTATGAAGGCTGCTCCATTTCTTCTGAGGGATTCTTGCCCGCAGTAGTATACCTGATGGTCATCTGAGTTAAATTCACCATTCTTGTCCATTTTAGTTCGCTGATTCCTAAGATGTCAATGTTCAGTCTTGTCATCTCTTGTTTGACTACGTCTAGCTTGCCTTGATTCATGGATCTTACATTCCAGGTTCCTATGGAGAAAAGATCTTTACAGCATAGGATTTTCCTTTCACCACCAGATATATCCACAGCTGAGCGTCCTTTAGGCTTTGGCCCAGTCGCTTCATTCTTTCTGGCGCTACTAGTACTAGCGCTCTGCTCTTCCCCAGTAGCATATTGGACACCTTCCAACCTGAGGGGCTCATCTTCCAGCATCATATCTTTTTTCCTTTTAGTACTGTCCATGGGGTTTTCATGGCAAAGATACTGGAGTGGTTTGCCATTTCCTTCTCCAGTGGATCACATTTTGTCAGAATTCTCTGCTATGACCTGGCCATGGGTGGCCCTGCACAGCATAACTTATAGCTTCATTGAGTTACGCAAGCCCCTTCACCACGACAAGGCAGTAAATAACAAAATAACTTTGGTGTTTCATTGCTTGAAAATAAAGTATAAAGCTCAGTAATCCAGAAAAGTTCTTGGTGAACCTTCTTCACCATGATGTCCTCAAAAATATGTTGCATTCCAACTCTTAAAATCCTCAGCTAGCCTTTGTTGGCCAAACTGGATGAATTATATGAATTGAAATCCAACTTATCTCAAGAATGTCTTGTTGGGGACATTCATGCATGTTTATAATAATAAACAATATGAATCAGAAGTTAATTTTATTTGATAATGATTATCATCATATTGATATCTCTACTAAACTCATTATACTGATCTTTCATTTTTATTATGAACTTTAGGGCAGAGCTTGCTTCATGCTGTGATGCTGTGCATAATTTTATTGCTTCTCAAAATAATACCCCATTGGGAAGCAACATGACTTATGAAGTGGACAATAAAAAAACCATCCATATTACAGAGGACATATTTCAGATGTTGCCAGAGGTAAGAAGAGCTCTGATGATATCATAAACAAAACAGTATAAGACCAAAAAAAGGTAGAGAAAAAATATTTTTTAGTTCAACTTTGACAAGAATAGTTAAAAAAATTAAATTCTACTCTATTCAGCTCTAGTCAGATGTGAAGTCCAATCCCATCTCACCAGAACTGGAGAATGTCTCTTGCTTGAGAAACTATTGTCAGCTTGAAAGACATGATTAGGCAAAATACAATGACTCAAATGTAAAATTGCTTCATACTTCATGTTCTAGCATTTTAGAAAGCACATATGGTAAGAAATTATGGAGATACACTATAGGAGGATATCCATTCATTGACTGGATTCACATTTCATGTTAAACCCTTATATACTTTAGTCTTGATTGGTATATAAATGCTGCTATTATAATGTTGTAGACCATGTTTATGGCTTTGCAATGACATTTCAACAAACCATGATTAAATTAAAAAAAAATTCTTAGTTCAATGTGTGTACCCAGAATTATTTGGCCCCTGGAAAATATTGGGAGTTTAAAGATAGGAGACTTATACTCACCAGCAATAGACATAATGATCTATCTTCATCATTCAGTAACTACTTTAAATAAGAAAAGAAGTGCATACCCTTGCCCTTTTAAACTCTGACACAGTCTGTCACTGTCTCTTGTTTTCAGTCTCAGCCTCTGGATTTTCCTTTCAAGCAGTGTGCAGTTGTTGGAAATGGAGGAAATCTCAAGAGTTCTAATTGTGGAGCTGAAATTGATAAATCTGACTTTGTGTTTAGGTGAGAAATTTTAAGTATGATAATCAACTCACTGCAGCCCATTAATAAGAAAGGGAGTGAACCAGCCTTTTCCAATGTGGTCATGTTGGCTATGGATGGCTGGAGTTATAGCCTAACATATCTAGAAGATGAAGGAACATGTTGTAAAAGAATATAAAGATCATTAACTGCAAAAATAACAGTTTGTCCCCGCCTTTCAGTACCAGTTGATTGTGCTGGAGTTTAGATGTTCAGTATACAATATGGTCAGTTCTAAGTGGAATAGCAAGCAAAGGTTAAGTTGGGTTATTTTGCTATATTTGCTTTTTTATTGCTATGTAATGAAATCTGCTTCATTAGATCCATACATGTGTTGAGGTCAGAGATCCATGCATGTGTTGAGGTCAGAGATCCATACATGTGTTGAGGTGAGCTTAATACTGAGGTTTTCTAGTGAATGTAGACTTCCCTCTCCACAATTTTCTATCCCCAAATGATCTGTTGAAGTACTTCCATTGTAGCTTGTTGCAAACATAACTGGACTTAAGAACAACCTTACATCTGAAGAATTACCGCTGTTCCATCTATTTTCCTTTTGAAAGGCTGACAATAGGGATAACATGGTACCTGTTACTCATTTTTAGTAGATACATAAATTAGTCATTTCAAATCCATCTGAATAATTGGTCATCATCCCATTTTATGGAAGGAATGCTGTAAGTTAATTAGGATTCATAATTTTGAGCCTCAAATATGATACATTTTCAGCATACCGAAACATAGATTCCATTAATTCCTTAAAGGCATATTTAGAATAAGCCTTAGAAATACAATCCTTCACATGCAGTGATGAGACTATAAAAGTGATGAAATTACAATTCTCAGAATTCAACTGGCTAGAAGATGGATAGTGCCTGATTTGGTAAAATTAATGTACCTTTTAATACTTGAGAGAAATCTGACTGCTATAATAGAAAAATAGGAGTGGAATCTAAATACCTTTTGTAAAATTACAGGTGCAACCTTCCCCCAACCAGTGGAAGTGTCAGTCAAGATGTTGGCAATAAGACAAACCTTGTAACTATTAACCCAAGCATTATAGCTCAGAAGTGAGTATAACTGTGGTATTATTTGCAATCTGTGTTTAATTATTAGGCTAAACATCCCAGAAGCTCACTAGTGTGTCATCATCATCACCATGGCTTCTCAGTTCTACTGGCTTCATTTATGGTCCCAAACTCCCTCTTAAAAAGGCAGGCTAATGCAAAGAGAGACCTCTTATGTTTGTCACTGTTGGAAAAGTATAGCTTTTGTTCCCACAAATGTCTCCATCTCTATGAGATCAAGAAAGTATTCGAATAATGAAAACCATTATCTAAAAAGTGGCAATGGGCTTTCTTGTCTCTCAATGCTCCTTAAGGTTTTGCTTCAGTGCTGTAGCTACTTTTATGTTATGCATTGACTGAACATAGGAACCAAAAGGAAAAGGGGGAAATAGATTCTCCACAAAACAAAATTTGCATAGTCATTTTGTTAAAAGTGGCTCACTTTGTCTACAAACTAAATACTGGTAAATTTAAATAAACTGTAAGCTCGTTCTGTCTGCCTGTCTACAGTTAAACTACTGCTGCTTAAGGTAGGTGCTCTGCATTTTTAGCACATATCCACATCCAGTTTCTTTGCTCTTATGACCAGATATAACAGACTGAATGATCAGAAGGCCACCTTCCTGGAAAACATTGCAAGTTATGGAGAAGCTTTCCTTTTGCTACCTGCTTTTTCCTTTAGAAGCAACACAGCAGCATCTTTCAAAGTGCATCACACCCTGAAAGAGTTCAGTGCGAAGCAGAAGGCCATATTTTTCTATCCAAGGTATCTCAAAAGTCTTGCTCAATTCTGGAGAACTAAGGGTGTCAAAGCCTATCGGCTGTCTTCTGGCTTCATGATCACCAGTGCAGCAGTGGAACTCTGTGAGAATGTGAAGCTGTATGGGTTTTGGCCTTTCTCCAAAAGCATAGCAGGCGTCCCCATAAGTCATCACTACTATGACAACCAACTTCCAAAGCCTGGTTTCCATGCCATGCCCAAAGAGTATAACCAGATTCTCCAGCTCCATGGAAGAGGTATCCTAAAGTTGCAGTTTGGCAAATGTTTGACAGTGTAGCCCAAGGTATGTTTTTGCTTCAGAATGGAGGGCACTTCTGTCAAGCCATGCATTCCTATTTTGGTAGAGGGGAGAACAGTTTATGATAGCCAATGCCAGAAGAGATGGATGCTGGAGCTCAAACTGGGTTGTAAAACCTCTTTTCTCTCTCTCTTTCTAATGCTCCTTTTTCTTTCTTTATGACAGTCCCTCTGTTTATAACATCCCCTTCTCTAATTCTTCTACTTTACCCACTCATTGACATTTCCCACAATTATTGTCTATAAAGGGCTTTTGAAATGAGGACACCTGCACAGAATTACGGTGAGAATCAGAGGGTGCATTAGGATCGTAGATTTGTCATTTTTAGTTTCAATAAAAGAGAATATTTATAGCTCAGGGTTGAACTGTGGAGTGCTCTCTGAGTTTGGTTGTTTTCTTACAGATATTTCATTAGCCAACTAAATAAAATCATTGGTGACTCACATTGATGAAGTTATCTAAGCGGGTAATGAAATGTTTGCATGCAAACAATCAGGCTTGGAGAGCACTAAGAATTCCACATCTTTATTTTATTTGAATATCTAATAATTAATTAAGCAGCAATGGTTTCATGTTTTATAGCTGGGAAAGACAATTTGTAGCCCATAATCACATGCTTTCTTCAAAACCAAACCTCTATGATTGAGGTCAGCTACATAGTATGTTGTTGGAGATAAGAGATGCATAAAATTTGTAAAAAAAAAAAGGCCTAAAATATTTTAATATGGTTTTAAGTTTTTTAATGCCATCTAAAAATCAGAGAAAAACAGAAAATCTTGGGAGAGAAATAAATGGAGTGTTGCTAAATCAGAATTATTCTATTAAATACATCCTTGTTCCCTACAAAGATCACCAAGCACATAAATTAAAGTTTATTTCATCATATATCCAAAAACATGCACAATTTATGCAAAGATCTTTAAAAAAACAATATTTTACAGACTTACATATGAACCAACCACAGATTTGATAGTAGAGGAGATGCTAGCTTAGAATGAACAATGTTCTGCATTTTTTAAATCTTTAGGCTAAAAGAGAAACTGTATAGCTTTTTATTGAGTTTTCCAAGGAAAATAATGTTTTGGTGATATTCTCTTTGTATTTATTTTATAAGGGATTTCAAGGAACCCTATCTTTCATTGGACAATTATTTCTCCACTGATATTCAGCCTCCTTCTCTTTGTTGAAACCCAAGATAAAATGTCATGACACAGAGATGCACTGCAATCTGTTGTTGGATTTGATCAAATCTGAAATGATTAATTTTTGCAAGTAAAACTACAAAGCATTTTGTACTTAAGTATGACAATCTAAAAGCAAATGTGTGCCATTTTAAATGGTTGTAATCTACCTTTTTACATAAATTACATTTTCAAAGCTCAGAATGTTCACTATCACTAAGAAGACAAAATCTCAGGATGAAAGTGGTGTTTATGCAGCTCTTGTATTCTTAGTTGTTATTCTTATAAATGTATTTATTGTTTTCTTAATGCAACCTAAAATGGTAGAGCACTGTCTGTCTAGGATCTTGGAATATTACTGAACATTTTCCAGTGTGCAAAGAGTTGTACATGGACTATGTCCAAATATAAGCCCTCTTCTGCATTGTGCCATTGCTTTCTTGTTTTTGTTACTTGTGGAACCGCAATATAGCATCCAGTTCATTTCTGTGAAGAATTGAATTGCCAAAAAATTCCTCTGCAATCTCTTCACACCAGTGTAGATAACATGTACAGAATCTTCTGCATATTTGTCTTGTCCATCTCTTCTACAGAATCTTTTTTTCTGCTCATTAAAATAATAGCAACTGAGAGAGGCAAGAGATTTTAAAAAATATTCCAACATGCCTTATAAAATCAAATACTCCAAGAATCAACAATCCCTGTCTCATTCTCCAATCATAATATCAAAAAATAAATATTCCCATATTTTGTAACAAGGATAAAATTATACTTTTAAATGTAACAGTAAAGAATGGAATTCATGAAGTCAGAGTAAGAAAAAGAATTGCTTTCAGGGAATAGTGACTGTCTGCTTTGCACATTCATTTTCTAATTTTGTACGGGCAGACAATCTCTTTCTAATTGATACATGTTTTACAGATAATCATCTGAATTTTGATATTTAATTCTTAATGTGTGTTTCATTAAAATACTATTAGAATTAAATTATTAATGAGTCTTGATTAAATTTTCTTTTCTTAACAACATGGAATAAGAGAGAACAAGTTACATTGTGCATTCTAATAAAAATTGGGATATGCCTCTTGGGCAACATTTTCAGACCACTGATGGCATTCCATTAACCAAATGAGGTACTTGTCCATAAAAATTGGATAAATAAATAACTTTTTGGATTGACTTTCCCCAGAGATGAAAGACAGAGCAAATATTCTACTGGGTATAGGCATTTTCAGAACACTGAAAATCTGCTTAAATTTGGCCATTTATTAAACAAAACTGATGGAATTCTGTCACGGTCAATCTATATATGAAAATCATATCTAGTTTTGGTAATTCAGTCTCTCTCAGATAGATATTCCATAGTCAACAGAAAAGCAGAAATAGATCCAGCTGGCTTTTGCATATGTTCCTAGTCATGTGCACAAAAATACCACTAGCAGAATACAGAGTAACAGAGTTGGAAGGAACCTTAGATGTCTTCTAGTCCAACTCTATGACCAAACAGGAGATCTCATTTCATTCCAGACAAATAGCTGTCTAATTTCGTAAAAATCTCCAGTAGTGGGGCCCCCACAACTTCTGAAGGCAAATTGTTTTCAGTATCAGGAAAATTTCTCCTTAGTTCTAGGTTGGATCTCTCTTTCATAAGTTTCCATCCATTGCTTCTTGTCTTGTCCTCAGATGCTTTGGAGAATAGCTTGACTCCCTCTTCTTTGTGAAACCTCTCAAATGTTGGAACACTGCTATCATGTCACCCCAGTCCTTCTCTTCATTAAACTAGACATATCTAGTTCCTGCAACTGTTCGTTATATGTTTTAGCCTCCAGCCCAATAATCATCTTTGTTGCTCTTCTCTGCACTTTTTCTAGAGTCTCAACATCTTTTTTATTTCATGGTGACCAGAACTGGATGCAGTATTCCAAATGTGGTCTCACCAAGGCAATATAATATATAGCAGCACTAATACGTTTTTGAACAGACTGTTCCACTGTTGATGAAGCCTAGAACCACATTGACAGTTTTGGCAGCTGAAGGACCTTGATGGCTTTAATTAAGTGGTGTCCATTTGGATTCCTAGATCCCTCTCACCGTTAGTACTATTGAGCCAAGTGGAAACTTTTCTATAACTGCATTTGATTTTTCTTTCCTAAGTGTAAAATGTTACTTTTCTCACCACTGAATTGCATTTTGTGGATAGTGTTCAAGTCTGTCAAAATCTTTCTGGATCTTGAGCTTATCTTCTAAAGTGTTTGCTAGCTTGGCACTGTCTGTGAATTTGATCAGTTCCCTTCCATCTCTTCATCTAAATCATCTATGAACATGTTGAAAAGTACTGGACCTAAGACAAAACCTTGGGTATCCCACTGAATACTTCCCTCCATAAACAGTAGATGTAGTTCCATTGAGGACTACATGTTGAGTGCAGTTGGTCAGCCAGTTGTGACTCCATCTGATGGTGATGCTGTCTCAGATTGCTCTATTTTACCAAGAAATAGATTATGGTCAAATGCCTTACTGAACTCCTGATGCACATGCCACTATTATTATATTTCATTCCCAATTCTTGATTTCAGAGAACTGTAATCTAGGTGGAGACACATAACTCAGTAGCTGAGTTGTGAGAGATCCCTACATATGTGCCATATCTTGTCACAATGTCAGGCATTTTGCAGTGGACTTAGAAGCATGTTAAATTTGAAAATTCATTAAACACATCAATATGGCTTCAGCTTATAAAACCAGGTAATGTCCTTTTGGTTTTTATGTCTGCTGAAAGATAGGTTATATGCTTTTCTTTTGAACAGTTAAATAAATACTTTTTCATTGTAGTATTTATTGATTTATTGAATTTCTACAATGATTGAATTATTGGACATAGAATCTCAAACTATTTATGCTTGTGTAGGTATTTCCCTTTTCTTTTAGTCTCTTTTTAGTAAAAATGTCACAGCACTTGATACTTTAAGTCAAAATATAATATTATTATATATTTGAAATTATTACTAAGTGTCTGACTATATTTATGGATCAATGCCCTCATTTTCTGTGCAATGTATTGGGAATTGTACTCTGCTACTTTTTTGTATGGGTTTATTGTTTATTAGGTAATATTTTGACATCAGCCAAAAGACATTGTTGATGCTTTGTTTTAATGAAGTATCTCAATGCCAAAGATGTTTGCTTTCATAGATATAAAGTATATGTTGGTTGGTAAACTAGAATACTTTTCTGGTTTTATTTGAAAATCTTGCTAATAAAAAAGTTTGTGATATTTATCTCATCTACTAATTCATTTTATGCCTACATTCAGATCATTATGAATGCAGTCCTGCATAGCCATATTAAGATTTTAGGATTGGTGGACAATGTAGAATTTTGAAAATGTTATGGGTACTATCAGGAAAAGGCTACCATAGTGTGTATAACCAAGTCACCAAACACCCATGTACCAGAAGGAAAGTTAATGAAATTATTTTATTATTCCATACATTTTTTGTGGCTTCTCAGAAAATTCTGCCTCTCCCAGCTTCATGTGTATGTATGCATCTCTGAGCATACATCCAAAGAATAAGACTGCAATCATTCAACATGTTTTTCTTAAGACTGTTTCTTGAATATGTATGAGATTCTATGCTTAAAATAAAGATTATGTTGCATTTGTATGTTTTATTTTTCTACACATAGAATCATGAAAATGTTATGTCCCAGGTTAAACAGACCATCAGGAGCACTAAAACGAAACAGGGACAATTAGCTTGTTTTCCCATTTGATTATAAACAAGTCAAATGACCTAA